TCCACATTATTTATGCTTTCTTGGTGCACCCCCTTGTGGTCTTTGTACGCAGTCTTGTTGTAGTTAAGCCTTGATTGTTGTCGGCAATACCGGGGGTGATTTGACCTCCAGGCTAACTTGCTATGAGAGTCAGCTGTGTCTTCAGTGTGAGAGCTTCTGTGTTGGATCTCTAGGGCGGTGCTAATCTCGCTTTCTTGTATTTCAACCACTTATTAGCTCCACCCTTTCTTTTGGTGGTGCAGCCTTGTTTGTGCAAATAGCTTTACTTTGTTCTTTACCTTCTCTTGGCTCGGCAACCCTACCCAAATGTATGGGAGCAGCCAACTCACTCTGCATTGATCTGCAAAGTTTTACTAGATCTGTGTTTTCTTTGGGCAGAGTAGCCCCACATGTGCATGCAGCAGTGCCCCCCCAATCTCTGCACTTTCTCTGATGGGGCAGTTCTGTGTGCTGGCACCACAGCCCATTTACCAGCTCCATACTCTTTCTAGGAGTAGCAGCACCCCACTCTCTGTGCACTTCCTCTGGATAGGATATCCCTATAGCCAGGGACCACAGTCTTTTGCTACTTTTATATTCTTTCCAGGCAGAGGAGCACCCCATGTATGTGCAACCCAATGGGTAAAGCATAAACTCGAAACATAACCCTGCCACATCTGCTGGATCAGTCTCTGAGTGAAGAAGCTCCTTTGATGCAAGCTATCATGCCCTCCTTCTTCTGTTTGATCTAAGTCCAGGAGTGGTGGCTGAGGATGTGCTGCAGCACCTGCAGGTTGTCCATAGAACCTGGATGGAGCTTCCATCTGCCATCCACATGCCTGGGAGCTGTAAACAATGATGTGCACCAGTTCCTCTGGTCCTGGGCTGTTCCCTCAGCTCCTGGAGAGCTCTTGCAGTTCCTCAGCCTTCTCTATCTCCCACCCCCCTTTTCTCTCTCTCTTTCTCTCTTGTTTGTTGTGCAGAATCTATTGAAAAGGCTCTCAGTTGTCTTTCAGGAAGAATTTCTGTAAATATAGGGATACATTGAATGTGTTTTTGGGAGAGTGCAAGCTCACTGTTCACAAATGCCACCGTCTTGGACCTACTAAAGAGTTCTTAAATATCAGATATAGGCTGCAGGACCAGCTTTGATCCTCCATATTCAAATGTCTATACAGTTTTTGAGATATTGTTCTCTCTGATTTCAATTCTCTGCTGGATCTAAGAGGAGTTGTTGATTTTTCACCTTGTTCAGCTTTTTTCATGAATGACAATAGACATGACAACTTAACAGGCTTCTTACTTATAGGACCAGAAACTGAAGTCTTGTGTCAATCACCTTTTATCTCTTGGCTTCATGTTCCCTAATTGTAAAACAAAGAAATAAGATCACTACTTGGTGGCTAAAGTCTCCTCTAGCTCTAGCATTCTGTTGATCCCATAAGTACTGACTTGCATGAATGACTATGCTGATTTGTAACATTTGCTACCCTTCTTACACAGGCAGACCTGCAGGTGGACAAGGAGAGGCACATTTTTTTTGAGTCCTCCCTTGATTATGTTTATCAAATCCAGGAAGTTCAGGAGTCCAAGAAGTTCAATATTGTGGAGCCGGTAAGTCCTATCTGTTGGTTAATGCTCTAGAAATATTTACCAAATGCTTGGTAAATACAGAGAACTTTGATCACAAAATTGGAACCTCGAAGAATGTGAAAGATAATCCCTGTTTAAAAACGAATCTTTCCTCACCCATGTTTTCTCTCTAGCTATGCTTATTCTTTATTTTATTCCATTCTTGTTCTTTTGTTCCCTGGCTTTCTCTGTCTCCCTTTAAACACACACACACACACACACACACACACACACACACACACACATTTTCATTGATTTTTTTTTTTTTTTTAGAGAGAGAAGAAGGGAGAGGGATAGAGAGATACTGGTAGATGAGAGAGAAATATCATCGATGGATCCTACATCTGCTGGGCTCTGTCTCCCTTCTTTTTACCTCGTTCTCCTTCCTTTCTTCCTCTCACGCTTTCATAAAGCCTTTTAAAATACCCATCATATCCCAGGCACTGTGCTAGGAACTCATTTCCTGTGTACTCAATGACTTCCCATTCTAACACTTTTACTTCTATTTTCTTTAACTTTTTTCTTTACTTAAATCTCCTTAATTTGTTATAAAATAAGATGTACTTTGGTTTGACAGCTATGTTGAATTTTAACAACTTTTTATTATAACAAATGTATTCTTATTGCAGGAAAGCTAGAATAAATTATAAGAAAAACAAAGGGGGGAAAATATATACCACTCTTTGTAATATTTTAAGCAATAAAACAAAATTTAAAAAAAAGAAAAACAAAACAAAAAACAAATTCCCCATACAGAGATAATGACTGTGAATACTGTGGCATTTTCTTCCCATATTCTCTATGTACGTATTACATTTGTTTTCTATCTGCATATACCCATGTACTTGTAGATTTGGGTGTGTGTATATGTATGTGCATAAACATGCATATATTGCAAATTAATATATGCATCTGTGTTTATGTGTATCTGTCATTTATATATGTCTGCATATGTATATGTGCAAACAAGTATTTATTCATTCATCCCATAAACATTTATTGTGCTTCTATTATGTATTGGGCACTGTGCTAAACACTGGTTTTGCTATAGTGAACAAGGCAGACTCAGTTTCTGTCATTATGGATACTACTGTCTCATGTCGGTAGACCAAAGGGAAGGAAAATATCCTATATAATAAAAGCCTAATATGCAAATCAACCCAATGGTGGAACAACCAGCGGAATGACTGGTCACTATGATGTGCACTTACCACCAGGGGCAGACGCTCAACACAGAAGCTGCCCCCAGCCTGCAGGCCCCAGGCCAGCAAAGGCAGCTGCCAATAGGGGCCCCCCGAGTACCCCACTGGTTGCCCCGCAGAGTGAGGTGACCAGTGGTGGTAGCAGAGAGGAAAGCTGGTGAGCAGGCAGCTCCATGCCAGCAAAGGTAGGTGCCGGCAGGGTCCCCTGATCGCCCCACCAGTCACCCCACAGATTGGCCCTGATCTCTGGCCAGGCCTAGGGACCCTATCTGTGACCAAATTTTGTGCAGCGGGCCTCTAGTACATAAATAAAATAATCGTTAGTTGTAATAAGCACTAAAACAAAGAACAAAATGGGCAGCTACTTTAGGTCATGTAGTCAAGGAGGTCCTCTAAAATTGTCATTAAGATCTAAAGAAAGCAAAGGTGAGGCAATGTGAATAATGGGGAAAGAACATTTCAGGCATAGAAACACAGACATATGCAGTCCTTAACTTAGAAAAGAATGGTGTAATCAAGGAATAAAATACTGGTGAGATATAAGGGAATGGCAGCAAACAATATCTGAAAGGAAGGTATGGGACCTATAGCTACGGTAAGGTATTTGGGTTGTAGTCTAAGGGAAACCTTTGATGGATATTAAGCAGGATATAATATGAGCTGATTTTATTATGGAGAATGGCTTGGAAGAAGCCAACATTGTGAGTGGAGAAACCAGTTAGGAGGTTAGTGCACTGCTCTAAGCAAGAGAAGAGGTTGTTTTGGGATAGAGTAGTGGTAGTGTATGCTGGGGTGTTTCTCAGCATCTAGAAGGGTTCAGGAATCTGGAGAAGGGTGGTATGAAAATTAATAAAGAGACTGGAAATACAAATTTGGAATACATGGGGGTACCAGAGGAGATTTAGCTATAGTAGCCAAGTTCTCTGAATCTCTGGACCCCTCACTCTTTTAACACAAATTGCCCCAAAGCAAAGCAGATATACATACCAGAGGTAAGGCCTGGTATACAGTAGGCTTTGTCA